GAAAATGTTTAATAACATGAGGTAAACGACATCAGCATTAAATTGGAAAAACACCACAAACAGGATTCATAACACAAGCCACGAGCAAAAAAACCCACCCCAGCAAATTGGGCTGCGTCCTTTCCCTTTGGTTCTTGAATCCAGCAACCCAAAAATCACCCAGAGTCCCCAAAGTCTCTTGGGTCCAGCAACCACCCAAAGTCCCAAAAGTCCAACAGACCCCAAAGTCTCTGTCCCTGGTCAGTGCAGCCTCAGAGTAAAAAAGGGGGGGCACGCAGGGTGTTAAGGGGCACCTTACATGATCTGAGGCCGGCTGGCCGTCTCTCCGTGGGGTTCCGCCACAGCCTTCACCACGAGCCAGTCCACTTCCTGCTGTCCCACAAACTGCTCTGCTCTACAAGCTGCTCCGCTCCGCTCACCAACCTGTGAGCCGCTCCAGCCGTCCCCGCAAACAGCTCCACTCGCCGTTCCTTGGGCCGCTCCAACCGGTCCCGCAAGGCTCCGCGCCGCTCGCTGCTCCTCCAGTAGTCCCCACAAATTGCTCCGCCAGCTGCTTAGGAATATAGCTTCAGGCTCCCCCACTAGTTAACACAGCACTCAGTGATCTCAGCGCTTAATAACTTTAGGTCTTTTGTGATTTCAGCTCTTAGCAATTTCAGCTCATAGTAGGGGAGCCCCAGTGCTAGTGCACCATTGGCCCAAAGTGAATTCAGCTCAGCAGCCTGTAACTAGACTCCTAATAGAATCAAAGTTAGCTCTGACATTCAACAGTGGAGAGAGGCAGTAGTGCAATTGGTGTTTCAAACCCTCAGAGGGGGCCCATCCCATCAGCTACAAATACCTGCCCCCATCCTCTCTCAATTCACTGGGTTTTGTAACCCATGCCCCTTGTCAAGCAAGTGCTACTTAGGTAATGGTGAAGGAGTCCTTCTGTCATACAACAGTTCCACTGGCCTTGATTCACAGAATCAGGGTAACAAAACTTTATTCTTCCTGCCCCAATAACAGAGAAAACTGGGGAGCCCACACCAGCCAAAGTAACCACTTTCAGTTGCTGTTGTTTCATGCCAGATGAGTGGGTGTGCCTATGCAAACAAGATCAGCCCCTGGAGTTCTTTTCCACACTCGCCATAATTCACCACCAGATGTCAGGGTAGAGCTCATCCTGACTCTGCTTACACATAAATGCAGCTTGCAAAACTCTGAGTGGGGCTGTGCTCAGACTTAGGTGATGCAAGTACATATAGTATAGGGGATGGATCACTTGATGATTACTTGTTCTGTTCATTCCCTCTGGGGCACCTGGCATTGACCACTGTCGGTAGACAGGATACTGGGCTGGATGGACCTTTGCTCTGACCCTGTATGGCCCTTCTTATGTTCTTATTCAAAAGATGGGTACAGTCATCTCATTAGACAGGGTAACAAACTAGCAGTCAAGAAGGATTTTCCCCATTTCACAAATTGGCCTACTATATTACAGGGTTTTTGTTTGTTTTTTTTGTTTTGTTTTTGCCTTCTCCTGAAGTACAAGATACTGGCAACTGCTAGAGGCCAGATACCAGATGAGGTAGAAAAACTATGGTTTGATCCTCTATATCAGCTGTGTTGCGTTCTTGTGTAAAAACAGATAACCATCAATACCTTTCTTGCTACCTAGGAGACTAATCCTTGCAACTCTCACATCAATTAGTGGCTTGGCAATATCCCAATGCCATTTCAATCACTGTTCCACTGCATTTTACATTTAAAATGGATTCAACCTTGTGGCCCAACTCATCAGGAATATGCATGCAGATACTTTGGCCACATATACAATTGCTACATTTGAATGTGAACTTTCATGAAAACAATTGCATCAGCTTTAAGTGACCTTACCCAGGATTGACCAGTTTTCAGTTTTGCTTCTTCCAGGACCTAAACACGCAGTGTTGAGATTACTTCCAATAGTCTCCTCCGCCAGACCCTCACTCTTTCTCCATCTTGTTCCTTGCACTTCAACTCATTTTCATGTATCTTTCTAATCAACCTTTTCTTTATGTTTTTTGTACTGTTGGAAACTTTTCTGCTTATGGTGCTTCATTTTTTCTTGGGAAATCTGATTTTTAATTGAGTGGAAGCATGTCCTACATCCACAGTGAAGGCTTTGATGGCAAAGGGTATAAAAGGAAAATAGTGGTTTAGAAGGTGCAAGAACATTGAGGTTCAGAAAATCCATTGGGGAAAATGTGTGCGCACGGTGGTTCTGTTTTCTACTAGAAACTAACCTTTTGTACTGTTGCAATAACTATGAAGTGCAATTGTAGGTGAAGCACATTTCAAAAGGCTAGAATGCAAAAAAAGACTTCAAAACGCCATAATTATGGGAAGGAAAATCTGTCTATAACCAATATTATCCAACTCCAAGTCATTTCCTTCACCATTCAAAGCATTTTGCAGCCAAACTGATCACCTGTATTTTTAATTCATTTTGCTTTATCCTCTCAGAATCCTGCCCAAGGAAATGAAATTTTCTTCAGAGATATACAGACAACTTTTAGGGAAGGGAGGGAGCAGAAGGGGAATATGTTTAATTGCTCCACCCTTTTGTTTTACAGCCAAGATATAAGGTGAGGACATAGAAGAGATAGTATACATTATAGATGTGAGAAGGAACTTTTATCTATAAAAACATCACAAACCTTTTCCAGTCCATGTAATAAAAAAGACTCTTAACGAGAGTCTCTTCGGCTGTCGCAATTCTGACTTTTAAATATTTGTTAAGCAAAAGCAGTTCTTATTTTAAGAAGGCAGTGATACACATTTGGGAATAGCAACAGAGGGTCCTGTGGCACCTTTAAGACTAACAGAAGTATTGGGAGCATAAGCTTTCGTGGGTAAGAACCTCACTTCTTCAGATGCAAGTCTTGCATCTGAAGAAGTGAGGTTCTTAC